CTAGGGCAATTTATGACAGGAAGCAACAGGGTTTCAGCCAGTATTGTGACAATAAACTGAGGGGGAGACAAGCCGAGGTATATATACAGCCTTGAGCTGTTAGGCCTTAGAAGGACAGAGCTAAAAGGGACCATACGGAGCATTGAGTCCAGTCCATGTCAAGGAGGCATAGTAGAGATTTGAGCTACCTTCCAATCTTGCAGTTCTAAAATGCATTTATTATTATTATACATGTAGTTTGCTAAAGTTTTTTTTTCATTTCAAAAGCAGCAAGAAAACACCTCTAAAATGTTAGATCCTGTTGTAATAAGTGGATTCTCCCCCTGACACACACCGATGTTTCCACTCTCTTTCAGGCGTAATCACTTTTTTCCTCATACTCTCTGGTATTAAAATTATACGCACAGCTGAATCTCAGATGTGGCACTTTGAATTCTCCCTAACCCACCCACCCCCATAAACAGCATCTGCCTAGGGCTTCATGAAGGTTTAATGATCTTCTGGAGGGTTCAGATTTTAAGTGCTCCCTCCAGGGTTTACAGCATTGAAAAAACAAATGTGTGTGTGTGTGTGGTGGGGGGATCTGTTCAAGTTGGGCAACTGAAATGATATTTGTGCTGTTATGCATTCTGCTCATTCTGCCTCGTGCATGAAGTTGCATGTCAGCAGACAAAACCTCTTGGCAACATTAAATATTCATTCAGACTAAATTTCCTATTTATAAATATTTGGTAATGTGTGTTCTGTTGATTCCGTTGGGTACTTTAAATGAATACACTTACTTTTCAAGGGAGAAGACTGAAAGTAGCTCATTCCACACATAGAAACATGATGCGCAGACAGGAAAACATTTAAGCAATTACTGCTAATTCGTAAACCTGGAAAGGAATGGTTAAAAATCAACTAGCTGGGACCATCTGCGGGTCTGTACATGCGGAAGAATGAGCCATGCTTCATTCCCTAAAAACTCAGAAACAGAACTTGTAAGTAGGAGGCAATGTAGAGTAGAACAGCCTTTTCCAATATCGGAGCATCTTTCCCTCAGAACTTTGGCCTCTCCCACCTGACCTTCACACCTCTGCTGCAGGAAGCAAAGAAGACTACTACAGAGGTGCCTCACTAGACAGTTACCCCGCATGACAGTTTTTTCGCTAGACATTGACTTTTTGGGATTGCTATAGCGATTCGCAAAACAGTGATTCCTTCGGGGGAATTTCGCTGGACAATGTTTGGTCCCTGCTTCGCCAACCGATTTTTGCTAGATGACAATTTTGACAGCTTCCTCCGTGCTCACAAAACAGGTGTTTTCAGGACCTAAGCTTCACAAGACAGAGATTTAAACAGCCGATCAGCGGTTC